CTCTCTACCCCCTCCCCCCTCCTCATCCCGATCAATCCCAGCCAATTAAACTTATTTTCCTGAAAAACATGGCTTTCTATTTCCAGTTTTCATATTGAAAGCCCCCATTCCCCTCTTTATTTAAGGTCAACTCTTTAAAAACTATAGGTTTTACTTCTGAGACTGATATGTATGCGGCAGTTATTTTAAGTAGTCATTTAACAAGCAAGCAGAAATGAAGGCACTGCTTAGCTCGCTTGTGTATAACATTTAAGAAAAATGTTCTTGATGTAATGAAAAGCTATACTCTCCCCCACAGCCCCTGCCCTCTGCATGCATTCATATTCAGACTTTACTCCCTAGACAAATATTTTCCCATGATAGTTCAGAGGCTCCATCCAATGTTGCGTGATTCTTTATTTCAACTAGATGTTTATTGCATTTCACAGAGACAATTTCTCCAACGCATTATGGCTTCAACCAGCTTTGTTTAGCAATTTGTTGAAGCCACATGGGGTCTATTACATATTCTTCTTTTCTAATTATTTAGCTGATATTGTTCCAAAGAAAGAATGATTGTGCCAACTTGAAGTCATTTAAAAACAGGAACAAATTTTGAAAATTAATAAAAAAAATGCTTGCAAGCCATGACTACATTTTATCCATGTCAACAAATGAAGCAACAGAAAACTTCAAGAGAAATATTAATAATGAAGAAAAGCCTTAAAACAATGGTTGTAAGGAAAACACTGCCTTCTTTTTCTTACTTATATTGGAATCCTCCAGTGACAAATACTAGGGGATTTGACAATTCTGTTAAATAATGAGAGAAAGTTAAAAGTAATTAACACAATGACCTTGTTTGAATACAGTGGTCCCATCTCACGATGAGGCCAGCACCCTTGTAGCTATAATTAATCTGAAATGAATTTGTACCTCACTTACTCTGCCTCTTTATCCTTTGTGTCAAGTAAGATCCTTGCCATGGCAAGTGAGTAGATGCAACAGATTGGCTGGGGGGGGGGGGGGCACCCATTCTGCTCTCAAGGACAAATGACCTTCCACATTCCCAGACTTAACTTTGCAGATTTGATTATTCACAGTTTTGATTAATATGGACTTTCTAGGAATCTCAAGGTCCTCCAGGGGAAGTCTATGGTCAATGGCTGTCAGAAGAGAGCTCATATTATTGAAACCACTCAAACCTGACTATAGAGTTGTGCCAGAAGATCAATAGGTTCCTAGAGAGAACATGTATCTAGGAATCTCTAGGTTCTCCAGCGTGGTTTTATGCTCAACATCTGGTTGAATATTAATCTTCAGTGTTTCCAGTCCACAGATTATAAGCTGTGTTGCATTATGTACTTGTTTTTGACGACTAGAATGTAAACATTCATTTCCATTACTTTGGTGGCATCTTTCTTTAGTATTTTGGCAATATAATGCTAAACCTATAAAGCCCTAAACGGTTTGGGCCCCGCCTATCTTCGCGATCGCATCTCCCTCTATGTGCCGGCGCAAACTTTAAGATCTTCCAGGGAGGCCCTCCTTTTGCTCCCACTACCGTCACAAGCATGGTTGGTGGAGACGAGAGAGGAGGCCTTCTCGGTGGTAGCTCCCCACTTCTGGAACGCCCTTCCTAGAGGAATAAGACAGGCCCCATCCCTTGCCTCCTTTCATAAGAGCCTAAAGACCTGATGATTTAAACAAGCCTTTGAGAACAACTAGCTCAGCCTCAGATATTGTTGAATATGGCCATATGTTTTTCTACCAATTACCCATGTTACTTCCTCCTATTAGGTCCCAGAAATGAACAGCCATAGACTCTATTTAATCTCCCAGGCCCTCTACAAATTGCACTAGCCTCAGCTGGCCCTTTTAAATTGCCTTGAACAGGCAGGATTATTTTAAATATGTATGTGCTATTGTGATTTTTTTATGCTTATATTGTCTTGTTAATTTTATGTTTATGTTGTCTACTTTGTATGTATTGATGATGTTACTTGGAAACCGTTATGAGTCCCCTTGGGGAGATACAGCAGTATATAAATAAAGTTTTGTTGTTGTTGTAGATGAGACAACCAGAAATTACCCAGCAGCCCCTTATATATAAATATTAGAATTAGGGTAAAATAATACTATGGACAAAGGTATATGGGGCAGTAGAGAAGAGTACAAAATGGTATCAGAGATGAAAAGTGGCTAACTAATTTTTAGATTAAGCACACAAATTCAACTAAAAGAATATTTAACTGATAGCATGGCTAGCATGGCTATTTTTAAATATATAAAACAGCTGTCGAAACCAAATCAACTGTGTATATTACGGACACTGTTCAAACATATGAGTAGATATCTGTTCATGGTAAAAATGCATTATTTATTTTACTTATCAAAAAGCTAATTTAGAAAAACAGACCTATTTTTAAATAATATAAGGCAGAGCTCAAGAGCAGTGATAATTGAACATCTCTCAAGAAAAATATGGCATGCCTCAGCAAACAAATAAGCAATTAAATTATAATAACCAAACCCATATATCAGTATTTATCAAATATTATCAAATATTGGCAGAGTTACTAATTTGAAGATTAAAAAAAACATTTCAGGCATAACATCATGCTGTTTAAAGCTCTTGACTAAATATTGACCCAGTCACACCCAAAGATTATTTAGATATGAATAGTTTTGGTATGACTTTCCAAAATCAACCTCTCAACACTCTTTAAGTGCTAGAGCTTTTTAAAAAAAGAAGGTCAAAGATTCCTATTAATTACTAGCTAGGGAATACTGACAGAAATAAGTGAATCATCTTCTTTACATACTTTAGAACTTCAAAAGCCTGAAAATAGCAATTTTACTGCCCAGTTACTATACTGAATTAAAAGTTGCATTCTTGGCCACAATACAAAATTATACAAATTTAATTTAAACAATGCTAAAGAAACATGGACATTTCAAACACACCAATTACAGTCATTCCTGTACATGCATCACAAAGAGATGATGCCATGTTATTCAACGTTTATGTCTTGTAGAAAGCTCTATCTATTTAGGAACAAGACATGATTAGAGCTATCTTGGAGATATAATCCATATATCCACTATTGTTATATTCCACGCACTCTCATGGTATCTTGAGAACCTTAGTACAGTAAAAACCTGATGCAAGACCAAAGTACTCATCTGAACCTCTATCATCACCACTACCACCACCACCACTTTACCTTCACATCATGACAATTTTCAGTCAGAAATATTTCTTTTATTAGTGAAAACACTCAACATGTTTAAGTCTATGTGTACTCTTAAGGCCTTTAGGGGCTATTAAGAATATGGGCCACCAAGGAGAGAGTCTTCCAAGTAAGTAGACCACAGGAAACATTGGCTCAAAGGATTATTTAGAGGGCTGGGACAAAACTAATATAGGGCTTCAATATGTGTGCTTGACTCTGTATCCTATGAAAAACTTATCAATGTGGACATCTGTTTCACCATCAATGCTTTGGCCAAACAAAAAATATTTGATTCACAAAGGATACTGTGTCATCAGTGGGAGAAGCCACTCTACAAGAAAAAATGGAGGTATCTATATAGAAGATTGCAAATCTGACAAGGATTAATCTAAACTCGTCTGAGTTCAACAAATCAAAGGTTGAGATGGGATTGGTCTACAGCTAGTCTCAGTAGAAGAGGCCAATGTCAATCCAACTTTAACTGAGGAAGGTTACTGTGGTACCAACCAATCCATCCGCTTTGAATGAGGAGATGTTTGGGTAGATGTGTGTGTCGATGGGATGGAGACTGCTGGCAAGATGGAAACTATCTGATAAGATAAAGACCAGCAACAAGATAGAGACTGAGGAGAGGTTAGAAACTGATAACCAGGGGTGCATCTATAGAGTTCCTCCCGATGCTGCTGTAGTGACAGTCAAAGAGGGACTGAAGGTTCAGACAGGAAGCATGCGGATATGCCATGTGGAAGTGGGTGGAGCTACTGCCAAAACACATAATAACTCTAGAAATTTCCAAATGATGCACTGAGTAGACACAGATAACACATATGTGTTAGTTATACAGACCATATTGAAGAACCAAGGTTTAACATTAGATTGGAGATGGACCTCAAACAAGCATTACAAGAGATGTGTATTAGTTGTGAACGAAAATAGAACAACCTTGACAGAAGCACTGGTAACAGAAAGAAACTGATTAACTGAACAAATACAACATGAAAATATATTATCAAAGCTTCATTGTGGAAGTGCCATTCTGAATGTGAAGAACAACTAATATTTGTTAAATTACACACTGTTCCTCAGACATAGCCCAGCTTCTGATACAAGGGCTGGGTTTAATCTTTGTTGAACAGCTGGCTGAGTTCAGATGGAAATATAGGTTTCTAAAAATAATCACAAAGTCTGAAAAGATAATAATATAATAATAATAAATCAACTGTTGCTGTTTTTATGACAGTGAAACATGGCCGATTTGATCCATTCAGAACCACACATTTCTCATTCTCCTTTATCTGAAAGAAATATATTACTAAACCTTTTCATTTCTTACCCTTAAAAAAGATTTAGATTGTATTTATCTTCTCTTCTTATGGGGGCTTCAAGCAGTTTAATATCAATGGGGCTAATCGGCTTCACATCTGCTTACCGTCAAACAAAAGAAATGGGACTTGCACAACTGGATCTTGGCATATTAAAGATAAAGGTAAAGGTTTTCCCCTGACATTAAGTCCAGTTGTGTCCGACTCTGGAGGTTGTTACTCATCTCCATTTCTAAGCTGAAGAGTCGATGTTGTCCATAGACACCTCCAAGGTCATGTGGCTGGCATGACCGCATGGAGTGCTGTTACTTTCCAACTGGAGTGGTACCTATTGATCTTCTTACATTTGCATGTTTTTGAACTGCTAGGTTGGCAGAAGCTGGGGCATTTTTTCAGTGAATAAAAGCTAGCTGAAACGTTCCAATCAAACTGACATATTGTAAAGTGAAACATAACAACTTACCTCAAAATAAAAGGGACAAATGGAGCCATGCTAAGCGCCGAATAGGCCCCATCCATTGGCGATGGATACAGCTTACTCAAGATCAAAAGTAAAAGGAACAAGCTTGGATGGAGTTTCAGTTCACCTGGTTTGCTACATCAAAAAACAAAACAAAAAAAATCTTAAAGATAGTCATAAAAATATATTGCCAAATTTCCAAGAAACTCCTATATTTAATGCAACAGCATAATTTGATATTACGAGATACAGCTAGCATGGTATAGTGATTTGACTTCTGGCCCAGGACATTGGGAGACCAGGCCATGAAAACCTACTGGATGACCTTGGCAAATTATAATTTCTCAGCCGCTCTCTGAACAAATCCTATGATAGGTTCACTGTAAGTCAGAAATGACTTGAACACAACACAAGACCATTAAATAATTTCCTCTTATTTTTAATGACAACAACAACAACATTTGTATCTTTCCCTATCTCCCCAGGGGGACTCGGGGCAGATTCCAACAACAAAAAACAAACATTAAATGCTTATACAATAAGAATAACAAATACAAGTACCGTCCAAAAAAGCAAATGTATATCACATTAAAACGCACATAAATCAAGTTTACACCCACATATCAAATTAAACAAACAACCAACCCACTTAAAATTAATTTAAATTATATCTAATATATTAATATAATAAATCTGACTTCACAAAGAATTCACAAGAATCAATAAGTTAATTCTAAATTATGTTAAAATTCTCCATAGTTACCTGGAATATCACTGAATTCCTCATTATTTTAAAAAATATTTTAAAAATAATGAGGAGTTTTCTCCCCAACTCACAAAGATATAAGAAGTTCTCAACTTTGTAAATCATGTCCAGGGACTAAACAAAAGGTTGGTGCAATATATTCCATTTTATTGATATTTAGAACATTTTAATTTCTTTTTTTGGTCTATACCCCACCCAGAACAACTTAAATAAACAATTAAAATACAGTAGACTCTGCAGGAGTCTACCGTATACCATGCAGCTGTGGACAAGTCTACATAGGGACCACCAAATGCAGCACTGCCCAAACACGAATCAAGGAACATGAAAGGCACTGCAGACTACTTCTACCAGAGAAGTCAGCCATAGCAGAGCACCTGATGAACCAGCCTGGACACAGCATATTATATGAGAACACAGAAATGCTGGACCACTCTCACAACCACCATGTCAGACTACACAGAGAAGCCATTGAAATCCACAAGCATGTGGACAATTTCAACAGAAAGGAAGAGACCATGAAAATGAACAAAATCTGGCTACCAGTATTAAAAAAAATCTAAAATTACAACAGCAAAACAGCAGAGAGGAAACAACCAGGCACATCTTAACACCTCTCAACAAAAGATTTTCCCAGGCTCAGCCAGGCCTTCAAATGCTAATGAAGGTGGTCAGTTGAAACATTCACACCTAGCTCCAGCAGAGAAGAGCTCTTTGCTCCACCCCAGCCATTCCACAGATATATAAACCCATTGTCCTAATTCCAACAGACCTCACTACCTCTGAGGATGCTTGCCATAGATGCAGGCGAAACGTCAGGAGAAATGCCTCTAGAACATGGCCCTATAGCCCGAAAAAACCCACAAGAACCTAATGAAAATAAAATTCAAGAAACAACATTAGACATTGCCAAATTCACTTACAGGGCACTTTGAAAAACCAGTCTCTTACCATTACAATCTCAGCTTAAAGACAATACTCAAGAAGGACTTCAAGTCTCATCTTCCCACTTGTACACGTAGGGCAAAGTACAAGTCATTGGAGAGGGGGTCAAGAGGTAGAGTGTTCTATGGATAGGAACTATGCTTTATTTTCCCATGGATATTTTAAATTAGATTAAATTAAAAATTAAAAAAGGAGAAATCACTAGGAAGCATTTTGTAAATTATTAAAAATAATTTTAAAATATTCAGCAATGAACAGGGTTTTTTAAAAACAATATACAAGACTAAATAACCAGTTTGGCACAGAGAAGACAGAATAAGGAAATCATTAATCTACACAAAGAATTAATCTGATATTGGATGGGAATGCAAGGATAGTTTGTAGCTTGAGGATCAGTAAAGTTGGCAGGCAGGAGTTAGTGCCTTCTGCTAAAAGCGTATTTGGATACATTTTAACATCCATCTTCCTGACTTTTGATTGAATGTTAATGGTATTTACTGAAGGCAAGCATTTAAAATGTGTATTTATTACAACTGGTTTCATTTTTAAGTATTTATATTTAATACAACATCATTATGTTTTGTATTTTTTTTAAACTCGTAGTAGGTCACTTTGGGATTATGATTTTGAAAACAAGAAACTGATTAGATTAATAAAGAAACATGGGAGACGCCTGGCTCAACAGTAGTATGTGTGAAAGATCTTGGAGCCCTCTTGGACAATATGTTAAACATGAGCCGACAATGTCATGCAGCGACAAAAAAAAAAAGCCAATGGGATTTTGGCCTGCACAAATAGTCTAGTGTCTAGATCCAGGGAGGTCATGCTACCCCTTTATTCTGCCTTGGTCAGACCACACCTGGAATACTTTGTCCAATTCTGGGTCATGCAATTGAAGGGAGATGTTGACAAGCTGGAATTTATCCAGAGGGAGGTGACTAAAAAGATCAAGGGTCTGGAGAACAAGCCCTATGAGGAGTGGCTTAAAGAGCTGGGCATGTTTAGCCTGAAGAAGGGAAGGCTGAGAGGAGACATGATGAGGGCCATGTATAAATATGTGAGGGGAAGTCTTAGGGAGGAGAGAGAAAGCTTGTTTACTGTTGCCTTGGGAGACTAGGATGCAGAACAATGGCTTCAAACTGCAGGAAAGGAGATTCCACCTGAACATGAAGAAGAACTTCCTGACTGTGAGAGCTGTTCAGCAGTGGAACTCTCTGCCCCTGAATGTGGTGGAGGCTCCTTCTTTGGAGGCTTTTAAAGGGAGGCTGGATGGCCATCCGTTGGGGATGTTTTGAATGCGATTTTCCTACTTCTCAGTGGGTTGGACTGGATGGCCCACAAGAACTCTTCTAACTCAATGATTCTATGCAATGAAAAAAGCTGAACTTCAAAATAACATATACAAAAGGAATAGCTAGAAGTTAGAGAGTTATTATGCAGTCTGATGTGGCAGATATCTTGAGAGATTATTGTAGCATTTGTTTTTGACTGTAATAAGAAATTATAAAAGCAAAGCAAGCCTTTTCTCCTCTCTTCTACTTACCAGTACTTCCAGACAGATTTTGAATTCAGACTGTCATGCTTTTATGTTCAAACAGTACATAGACAACAGTTACAGAGTGAGCTGCTTCTTTGAAATTACACTCAGTTGTGTGATTAATTCATATTTCATTTAAAACCACAACTTTTGGTGGATGGCAGTGCATTTTTCTTACCTGTCTACTGTGCTTGCTACAAGTTCCAACTGACTGAGCAAAAATGGATATAGATTTGGAAATCGAGTGAAGAACTCTGTCCCAGACATTCTATAAAAGAAGAAAAGGATTATTTATTTATTTATTTATTATTTGCACTTATATCCACTACTCCCTGGGGCTCGGAGCGGCTCACAAGAACAGGCTAAAATCAAACACAATTTAAAAACAATTTAAAACAATTTAAAAACAATCAGAGATCAAAGGCCCGTCGAAATAGATATGTCTTACATGCCCTGCGGAAAGCTGATAAATCCCGCAAGGCACGGACTTCAGGTGGCAGAGTATTCCAGAGTGATGGTGCCACTGCTGTGAAGGCTCTGCGTCTGGTTGCTGTTAGACGCAAGTTCTTGACACTGGGGACTTCCAATAGATCTTGGTCCTCAGAACGGAGGGATCTCTGGGGTTGGTAGGGGGTGAGACGATCCCTCAGGTACATCGGCCCCAGACCATGCAAGGCCTTAAAGGTGAGTACCATCACTTTGAAAGTGATCCGGTGCTCAATTGGTAACCAATGCAGCTGCAGTAAGGTTGGTGTTATGTGGCATCTCATCGGAGTTCCCGCAAGAAGCCGAGCAGCTGCGATTTGTACCAGCTTGAGCTTCCGGATCACCGACAGAGGAAGGCCAATGCAGAGGGCGTTACAGTAGTCCATCTTGAGATGACCGTAGCCTGGATCACCATAGCTAGGTCATCCCTGTACAGGTAGGGGGCCAGCCGTCTAGCCTGCCGCAGATGAAAAAAGGCGGTTCTGCTAGCGGCGGAGACCTGGGCCTCCATCGTCAGCAGAGGGTCCAAAAGGATTCCCAGACTCTTTACCAATGATGACAGGCGTAGCGCCTCGCCATCCAGGGTAGGCAGCTGGATATCCCCACTGCCTGGTTGACCCAGCCACCAGAGCGGTACCTATTGATCTACTCATATTTAAATGTTTTCAAACTGCTAGGTTGGCAGAAGATGGTGCTAACAGCGGGAGCTCACCCCACACCCCGGATCTGAACTAGCGACCTTTCGATCAGCAAGTTCAGCAGCTCAGCGGTTTAACCCACTGCACCACCGGGGGCTCCAATTTAAGAAAGCAAATTTCTTACAATTTAAGAAAGCGAATTTCAAAAAAGAAAAAGGAAGTAATGGGTGAGAGCTCATGATTAGCCATGGGCACTCCTCAAATCATCTCCTTCAGATTATTTTTTTTTTTTTTGGTTTCTCCAAGGTAGTCCCACCCAAGGGAGAAAAGTGGGATAAAAGTAAATAAATAATAGTAATAAATAATTGAATTGTAGCATAAATATTTTTCTTTCCTTTGTGTCATGATTCCAGAAGGGAATTCCAGTCAATGAGAAAGACGTTGGTGATGGAAGGGAACATACTGAATGATCACAGAAATCCTCGAAGTAAATAAAACTGAGAAACAAACCATAAGTGCTAGCTCTTAAAAAAAGATGAGATCTTAAACAAGCATGTCTAAGAAATGAAACAATGGGTAAATGGCAAAGTAGAGTACAAATGAGGTCACACCTGTGGGGAGAAAGTCAAGAGAGATAAAGCTGAAAATGAGTTCAGGTTTGGCAAGAGAGGTTAACAAAATAAAAAGGTCACCACCATCTCCCAAGTCATGTTCAAAGCAAGAGAAAGAACAAGAATATGACAGATTTGCTGCATGGAGATAGAAAAATACTAATGAGAGGTGGAACTACTAAAAAAAAAACCTTGACCCTTCTCTCCCACCCAAAAAGTGAAGTAGTGGTCAACCTGGGGAAAATTAAGTAAATGATGTGATGAGAGGACTGCAACCAAAGACATCAAAAGTGGTAGTACAGAAACACCTAGCTACTTTAAATGACTCACAATCTCCATAGCCAGATAAACTGCAGCTAAGAATACTAAAAGGATTTGTCAGACATAATATCCTAGCTTGTTTCTATAGAGTATGAGAATTATTGGAGAATGGGTGAAATCTCTACAGACTAAAGATACTTTAAGTGTTGACCCTGTCTTCAAAAAGGGAGACAAGATAAGAGGACATGGGCAGTAACCAACTAATCAGCATAATTTCAATATATGGGAAGACTTCAGAAAAATAGATGGTCTGCAAGGACTTAAAAACAATGCAGTGATTACTGACAACACACAAGTTTCTGAAAAACAAGCTATGCCAAATTAATATCTCTATTTTTAGTTATAAGGTTGACAAATAAGGGGAAAGCAGTAGATACTGTGCATCTTGATTTTAGTCAGACCTTTTAACAAACTCTCCAAATAATAGACTGGTAACATGTGGATTAGATCACTGCCTCATAAACCATGGGTCCCAGTTCCAAATGAAGTACCCTTAGCTCCATGATGGAGTCACAAAAAAATTGACAACAGTAAAACGTTTCTGAACATCACTCATTTACACAAATCTGTTAGTAACAATGTACAGTGTTTACAGTGGGTTCTATAGAAGATGCTTCAGCTGTACTTCATAAAAAGGAAAATCAGCCTGTTTAGCAAGCCTTGCAAATGCTGAGCTATTATCATAAATGTTTAATTTTTATCCCTATTTCATATACTTATGTATATACCACAGGTCACAAAACATTTCTCAGTTAGAAAGGGGCCACAAGTGGAAAAAAAGCTAAGAAACCCTGGGCTAGTTTATGCTACTGAGAGATGTTTTTACTAGCTCACTGATGGGAGTAAATCCAAAGGTTTTAATGATCATGGAAGAAGTGACAAACAGGGTGCCATAGGGTTATGTCCTACACTTGGTGGGGTTTAGCATCTTCATACATGTATTTTATGAATGGCCTTTCCTATGGGATGAGCAAGCCAAGCCATAGTGAAATTGATCTCGGACCATATAGATGGCATAAAAACACATTTTCCTTTTAAATCCATTCTTCACATATTCATACACACACACACACACACACACACACACACACATATTCAGATAGTGGGGGAGCAACTGTGGATGTGTCTGAGATGGGTCAATGTATCTGTCCTATGGCGATCTTCTGGACTTCTGTATACATTTCCAAAATGCTTAGGACCAGAAATCTTTTGAATTTTTAAAAATATTCGGATATATATAGTGAATTATCTTGAAGAAAGGAACCTACGTCTAAACGCAATATTCATTTATGTTTTACATATACCACATACACACCACTTAAGGGAAATTCTATACAAAATATTTTTACTAATTTTTTGCATGAAAGTTCCAGTGTGTGCATCTCAGTCACTCATGTGTAAGCATGCCAATGCCTTAAATCAAGAAATAGTTTTCTCAGATTTACAGAGATACTCGCAGGAACACCACAGCAAGCGAGAGTCCAAAAGTGGCAGGCTAAAACACAGATCCTCAAGCCATGGCTGATACCAAATGAGAGACTCCATCCTGGACACAGAGAAGCCTGGGCGACCTGGAAGGCGCTGAAAAGACTGCGCTCTGGCACTACGAGTTGCAGAGCCAATCTTAAGAAATGGGGCCACAAAGTGGAGTCCATGACAATGTACCCTCGGTTCGCTTCTGATACAATAAATAAATAGTCACCCATGTGGGCAATTTTGAGCATTAGGATTTCAGATTTCCAGATTATTTTGTTTAGACTTACATACATATTGGAATTACTACACCAAGATAAAGTTATGGAAAAGGTCAGTTAATAGACATTTAAAGGCACTATACCATTTGATTATATTTATACCCAAGCTTATTTTTTTAAATCAATCAATAAGAGGCACAGAACTACAGACCAATTTTAAAAGTACTCAAAAAGCAAGTAAAGCATGGGTTCATTCACTAGTTTTTGTAAAAAGACTATAGCAATAGCCCCTCACACACACACACACTTCAGAGCATGTTTTTTATTATTCTAAATGTCATGCTGATCATAACTTTGAATAATAACTAGAGGCAAAATTTTTAAAAAAATCAAAGATAATAAAATTAAGTTGAGAATAAATCGGTCTTCATTCAAAACGATGTTCCCAATAAACAGTAAACACCTATGCTAAATGCACTTCCCATTTCATATCAAAACATTATTCAAAACCTTATTCCTAATGCTCGCTTTGCAGAAAATCAATGAACATAAGTAAAGTTTCAACATATGAAACACATGGTAAATACCATCAGATAGCCTTCAGAACTCAGTTAACATAACATGCCTTAACCACAAACAACTGAACAAACATTACAAAATAGATCAACACAAATTATCTGAATGAGACAAGTACAGGATCCTTTAGTAAGTGCTCAAAAATTCAGAAGAGTTGCTACTCAATACTCTTCTGTATTGAAACTCTTGCTTACTAGCAAGAGTTTCTATAGTTCAGTATATCTCTGACATTTGTTAAGGCGACAAAAGGGATATTTTTCAAAATCATAAGCAATCATAATTTTAAAATTTCAGCATAAGTAGAAAACAACTGAAATCTTCACACCACAAAGTCAAAATAAAATACTCGAGATACTATGCAATATAATTTGGATGGACAAATGGAAGAAACATCACATATTGCCTAGCAACTGAGAAGCAAACATTTAATCAGATGATCAGCAGGAGGCATGCAGATGTCCCATGGGCTGGAACTGCAGACTGATGATTACCACATATTGTCTCCCTTATACAGCTGATCCAAAAGATTATGTTTTCAGGAGACACCAAGGCTATAAGTGCAAACCCTCAGCTCTTGACGAGTCTCAGCTCCATTTGGCAGCTCCTAGCATCTTATAGTGGAACCCTTTGAGGACAGTAAAGAAATCTAAGGTCTTGAATTGGACCTTGACTCAAATTTATCCTTGACTGAATAGGCTACACAAAGCAATATTTTGGCTGAAACTGCCTAAGCAACTCTGGTTTTCCTACTGCTGGCATGTCTTGGTGTAATGTTTGGCTCTGATTCCCAGCTTGTTCCCTTTGCTCTGACTCCATGGTACAAGCCTGTCCTATAACTGGCTGCTATCTTGATCTGAGCTCTGAAATATATGTAATATAAATAACTGAACAAATTAATTACAAAAAGACTGAGCAAAATCTGTTAGTTGTGCTGATTTAATT